TAAGAGTAAGATTTTGTTTTCATTTAAATGTGAGATAAAAATTAATTTACAAATTATCTAGTTGAAATTTTTAATTTTAGAATAAAACTCATACTTTTTAATTCGTATTTTGAACAAAAAAATGATAAATTTATGATCCATTAAAATAAAGAAATTAGTTATACCTGTCGAATAATATGATTAAAATTGTTGGGAGTTATAGAAATATTACAGTTAAATAATTTTTCCAACTTTGAATTTTTAAGTAAAAGATTTCATCAATTTATCAAATTTTATGATTAAAAATTTTTAAATTATTATCAATAACTGCGCCTATTAAATTGAAATCGTGATCTCCTAGTAATCCCTAAATATAAAAACAACTGAATCATTCTCTATATATATTAAGAATATTGGGATCGTAAATAAATAAAATTTATTTCAACATTTTGAAAATATAAAAATTTTTGAATCTTAGGAATTTAATGATTTTAATTCAATATGATTGGATTGTTTTAAGTATGTAAATATTAGTGCATTTAATTTAATTTTATAGATATGAATTTTATTTGCTTTAATAGATTCAACATAGACTTCTTTTGGTTATAAAGTGAAAGATTTATATAAATAAAGTATTTATCAAAATAGTCTTTTTTAGTAAAAATGTTTTTCATTAAAATATAAACACAAATGCAGATATAAATATTAATTATCATTTATTATTAAAACACACTAAATTCTTTTTTTTTGAAGTGTTTGAAGAAAATGATATTTAATATAAAATAAATTGAATGATTTATAGTGATAAACTTTTAATCTTAATCACCTGTTTTCATTATAAATTAAAGATTTTTTGTACATGAATTAGCAATATAATTTTTTAAAATAACAAAATAAATCACAATTAAAGAAAAGAAAATAGCATCAATAGGGATCATCAGTTGTTGATTATTCAGATAATTCAGTAAAGATTTGTGGTTGTTTAGCAGGTTTATTAGTATTATCATTAAGTAATCTAATAGATTAATAATGATTAATAATTTTTTTTCCTTAATGAAATGCAATATGAACTTATTTCTTTATGGGAACTTATTTCTTATAATAATAATTTTTAAGTTTTTCTTTAATAGATGACCAACAAGTTGATATTGGGATGTGTTTTATGATATAATATTTATCAACTGTATGAACAACAATATCTATTTGTAAAGAATTACTCAAAGCTTATAGTTCTAAATGTCCTCCCCATACTCCATCATAAGACATTCGATTTGTATATTCATTAAATGAAGAACCTTCTGGAAGAAAATCAGAAAAAAATTTTTGGTTTTTCTGGAGAGATCTGATAGCCATACTACGATAAACATTATAATTTTCCTCATTTCCAGTTAGTTAATCAGCAATAGCTCTAAAAAGACAATTTCCATCTGAATCAACATCTCTTATAGTTAATCCTAACTGTTATAACCTTTTATTGAATTAATTAAAATATTTTTTCATTTAATTAATAAACATAAGTTTGGAAATTAGAGTAGAGGTTTTTCATAAATAACTTGTTCAAACTTCATAAATAATAATTTGAAATGAATTATAATTATATCATCCAAGCAAAGTATTATAGTATTAACTGTCACTTAATTTCTTAACCATTTCTTTTTTCATATAATTAACGAATTCAATAAATAAGTTATCATTTATTTCATCCATCATAGGTTCTGCAATTTTAACATTATTTTTGATAATATTAATTTTAAATTTATTAGTAACTTTAATTTTTTTTAGATCTCTATTCAAAAATGTAGCTGGAGGATCAATTATTTCAACTTCAGGATTATTTAATTTAAATTATTCTTCCATAGATTTATTTTATTATTTAAATTCATTTATCTTATTTGAATTTTCTTAATTGATTTCAATCTAAATTTGATTTGATGAATTATCTCCTACTTATTAAACTTGTTCTTATGAAATTTTTTTCAAATCATTGATAATTTTATTTTAATCGAAATTATTTTACAACATTAAAGATTATTTTTAAATCTATAAATATTTTTCAGCAGTTTCATCTAGATTAGAGTTTTGATTTTAAATACTCATTTATTATTAGTTATTTTATTGATTAATTTAACTAGTATTTAACTCAACTTGAATTAAAAGATTGTTTTAATCAATTAAAGTATTCTAAATCTATGGAAACTTAAACTAAGTCTCTTTATTATTTTAAGCAGAAGTTTCATTATGTTTGATATTATCTACAATTTTTTGAAAATGTTCAATATTTTATTCCATTTTATTATTGTGTTTATTAAATTGTTCATGGAAATGATTATTATTCGAGTTTATCATCTAAGGAGGATTGAACTGATTTTATTGAGCCATTTATTTTTATCGTAAATTTTAAGATTGATCAATGTGCCCAAAATTTTCATTGATTTAGTTACCTTGAACAATTTGTTCTTGTTTATTTGCAATAAATGTAAATGATAATTCTTTATCTTTATTATCATGTTTTTCTTCAATTTCAATTGTATCATGAAGTATTTAATTTTTAGTTGAGATGTGAATACATTATGATTTGTAATGTTTTTTAAATTATGCAAATGTTCCCTCCCATTATTTACATCCTAAGCATTTGCCTTAATAATCTCCAATCATGTTTGCAGCTATACGATCTTTGTCTAAATGATTGTATCTTTCAAGTTTAAGTAGACAAAGCGAACAACTTTTTTCCATCTTAATCTGAGGATCCAAACAAGACTCGCAAAAAGTATGTCTACATTGAAAAAAGAATGATACCCACATATGGCTCTTATTGGTTTATTAAAAACTTCTTTGCAAATAGGGCATAATAAGTATTTATTTACTTATTAAGTTTTAATTAGTTCAAATTATCCATTTCTAATCATCTAATAAAATATTTAATAATTATTCTATTATTTTAATCTATATCATTGAACAATCTTTCATATAATATATTTAAATACTCCATTTAAAAGAAACATCAATTATATAAGAATGATAGAAATTTCTGAATTCTATTTTCAATCATATGTTCTATTTATAATAATTGTTGATATCCTATAGAGAATTATCTAAAATAAATGATAATATAGTCAATTGAAAATAATAGTTATATATTAATTATTAAATAAAAAATAATATTTTTACAGATTAACTATCATGTATGAGGATTCACTCCTAAAGTTTTAGGATTTCATGATGAATAGAAATATTACATTCCATATCTCATCTTGCCATCTATTCGAAAATGTAAAAATAAGTAAGAATAAATAATTATTTTCATTATATTATTCAAGTATCTTTTTTTATAAGAATTTCCAGACTCCCTAATTAATCCATATATTATTGATCAAATCAGAATCCCAAGAATTAGAGATTTTATGAATAGCAGTATCAAATTGTCTTCTTCTTCTTTGATAATTGGTTTCATAAAAATGAGTAGAGTTTATTCTATTTCTCGATAAAGGTAGTAATATTACTATCATATAATATCTATATAATCTTAAAGCAATTTTAATTCTTCTCAATAATTCTATCTAGGTTTTTAGGTTCAGTGATTATATATGAACGATTAGAATGTTACTTTCAAAATATCAGCAATTATAGCCAAAAGGTAATTAGGCATTTTGATGTCAAGATCATAAAAGCTTACGAATCCTTATAAGAATAATAAGATAAAATTAAGATTGCAATAATTAAATTTATTCTTTCGAATGTTCTTAGCTCTGAAAAATTATAAATTATATAGATATTAATCCTAGGATCTTTAAACAATAAAAAAGCACTGAACTACTATTTAAAGCTAATAGTTTCTTGTACTGTATTTATTCTCTTAACAGTAGGAATTAAAATATGTCAAAACTCGCAAAAATAAAATTTTTTATATTTAGATTCGGTTTGTTCTTTAGTCATAACTTGAAGGCACTCGCTTTCTCAGTAACTGCATATTCGATTCTCAATATGACACAATCACCATTATTGTAAGCCTTGAAAAAGTGTTATCTCTTGATTATAAGGATCTGCTCTCCATCCAAATACAGATCTAGTGTCATATTCTACTTTTATTCTTAATGATCATCTTATTTATGAGATCAAATTTGATGAAAAATTAGATTATACTATACATTAAATTGATCATAAAAATTCTTTTTAGTTATTATTCAGTTTCAATACTCTTTACTAAATCTATAAAACTATTGATAAATTGCTTGAATTTATTTATTTAAATATATTAAAATAAAACCAGCAATGTTGGAAAACGACAATGTTTTAGAAGCTATCACAATGATTTTGATCTGTTTACTAACTTTGATTATCAGATAACTCTTAAATCTTGGAAACCACAATCTCCTAAGAGAACAATAACATGTGAAATGGAAAAAAGAGTAAAAACTATTTTAAGTTGTTTTAACAGATTCTGAATTCAATACATTGTTAGATGAAACTAATTACGTCGATTGATATAACATAAGAATTAGAGGATGAAATATCTCTTACAAATATAATTTATTAAATATGAGCATTATACATGATTAAAATATTTATTTATAATATGCTCATCTAAATGAAAAACAATTATTTGGTCTTCAGGAGGATATTTCATATTTATATGCATTTGATGCATAATAAATAATTTTATTAATTTGTTGTTTGTTAATTTAACGAATGTCAAAGTGGTTAGATTTAAGCCTAACTTGTACACAACTAAACTTCAATCAAAGTGTTACCAATACATACAATAATCGTAAAAATCCATAAATATTTATTCAATAGATAGTCCCATGAATCTCATAGTGGATCTTTATAAGAATTAACGTTATGGATAATTGTATTTAGGAAATATCAATGCTGCTAACGATATTAAATATTTAAGAGAGCATTCTATCAATGCCATTGTAGCTGTTATTGATACAAGTGAAATCAGAATAGATCCAACCATGACTAGATTAGTATCAATATCTTATCATAATTAGTGGATTATGGCTGAAGATGCAGAGAATTTTGATCTATATCGTTACTTTGATGAATGTGCAAACTTCATACGAGATCATATTAAGAACACTAATGTTTTTGTTCATTGTTATGCTGGTATCTCTAGATCTGCTTCTGTAGTAATTGCATACATGATCAAACACTTAGGGTATTCTCTTAAAGAAGCACTCAGAAAAGTGAAAGGAGCAAGATCTATTGTTGAACCTAATTCAGGTTTTATGAAACAATTATAAGATTATGAATACAAATAGAATCTTAATTCTCATCAAGGAACAAGAAATGGATCATCTTTTCATTCCAACCCTAGAGGATCAGTTACATCTGCAACCAAAGGATCTTTGCATAGTGCCAAACCGTCATTTCTAGATAGAATGCCTTCAGGATCAAAGGATCTTAAGCGAGACATTGAAAGTCCATGTGTAAGTTAATTTTATGTTAATGGCTCTTCTAAATAAACTAATAATAATAATAACAATCCTAAAAGTTTTTTTAAATAAGGAAGTGTTGGAAGTCTTTTAAAATAGACTAATAATGAGGACTTCTTTAGACGATATTAAAAATAAAAGAATGTTGAAAATATTTGGAATCAAGGAATGCATGGACATCATAAATCGGCTTTTGAAATTAAATGTGACAAAATAGAATAAGTCAAATTGACTCTCTAAACATTTGGTGTCAAGAATGTTTTTAATTCCTCAAATAGTAATGGATTACATTTTCATCACAAAGGATTATCTTAGGGTTGATTTTACGTATAATTGATATTTACTATATTAAATTATTTAAATATTAATTAACTTTATTTAATGACTTATTCAATAAGAATATTTAACAATAAATATTTATTATTAAGTTGCTTGAATTTGTTTTTTATTGATTAATTAAGATGGTTGTTATTCTGGATACTCAAAAATGCAATTATTATTTAATGCAAAAAGGGCTGTTCTAATTTAAAATATTTTTACATATTGAATAATCATTTTAGTGGATCATCCTTCGACATCTATATAAATTAAATAAAAAATAAAAATGATTTAGAATATTCTTAATTTTAAATGAAAGTACAAGAGTATAGAAATTAAGATGATTGTATTAAATATTTATATAAATATATAGTTCAATTATATTTAGTTAAGGATTGAGTACATCCAAGACGAGATACATATCCTAACTCAGTGAATTTGTCATTAAGCGAGTCTAGGTTGCTGAAGATACTTTCAAATTGAATCCATAATTCTTAATTTTAATTGATTTGTTCATTTAGTTTATATTGAAATTAATCATAGAAGGAAAAGAAAGTTTCAACAAACTTTTGGTTACGATGAGATTTGAGTAATTTATTGATTTAATTTACATCTTATTCTAAATCATTTGGGATCGTAGATGTAGGTTTCATTTATTAAATAACCCTATTGATTTTGTACCATATTTAAATGG